GTCATTGAGAGCTGCTTTGAAAGCAATGTGCTCCTTTGGGAACATGATGATGGAACTGAAGAGCCTTGCACAGGCCTTCCATCTTCATAAAGTTGTCTTAAAATCTTGATCTCTGTTAAGGTGTAATCTACTGTCTATGGGCTGCTGTACAATTATGGGGTGTGTGTGCATATAGCACAGTCTGTATGATTTATGGGAACTCTATAGTTTCTGTTCCTGGGATAAAATTTCAGGGTTTGGGAGGTGAGATGAAGAAACAGAAAAATTAGGGTAAATATCAGAAGTAGTTCCCTGGCAGAGAATCACATTGTGTTGCCAATCAAGCCTGTTGATAGGAGACCAGAAAACTGGGCAATCTACTATCAAGCGTGACACAGGGAATGAGTCAGAACTGGCAGGAGAGAAGATGGGTGGACATGGAGCATGTCTATGCACAGCAATTACCCTGGATTGACGTGGGGTGTAAATGTAGTGCACAGAAATCATTGGCCCCCTGGGTCTTTCTGCCTTATAGTTCACTTCCAGGAGCTGAAGTTCAGTCAGAAAAAGGCAGGCTCATTTAGGAACAAATGTGCCCAGACTTGGAGCTATTCAGGATCATCTATCCTGGAAAAAATCACCAAAGAGCCAATTTGCCTTTGTACCGTTCAGCAGGAAGAGGGCCATAGCACTGGCTTGGTTTCCTTTGGCCAGAGAGAGCTGATACCCTCTTCATTTGCTTTTATTCATGCCAAATGAATGGGACCATCAGAGAGAATGATACAGAGACTGACCCGAGGGCACGACACATTTACCATTTTAGCAGCCAGTTGCATCCCAATGATTTAACAAGACACGCATCACCCAAGAAGCATCCTTTGGTTTAGCACCTTTGGCTGGTGCATCAGCTGTAGCAGCCTGTCAGACTCCAGGTAGCTTGGGGAGGGCAGACAGAGGTGGACTGTCCCCTCTGGCCAGCATAAATCAAATGTGGCTCCACCGAAGGCGATGGAACGATACCTGTGTCAAAGCAGAGTGTGTGTGAAGAGAAACAGCTTCATCAGTTTTAATGGTGGCAATAAATGTATTGACTCCTACTTACTGACTCAAAAGCCCAGGATTAGAGTTTTAACTCCCGAAAGGAACATTTTTATTTCTGGTTTTGACTTCAACCCAAACCCCAATCCTTACATATCCTGCTGCAGGATTTATTGGCTACAGTTTTTCCAAGCTTAGAGTCATCATCAAATTCCAGCAGCCTGTTCCTCAAAGTCATGCCTTGAGCAACGATTCCTTGACAGCAGCAGTGATAGGTGGGAGTGCCCCTGCAGCAGGGCATTTTGCAGAGCTTGCCAGCCTGCAGACCACAGGCCAGCTGCACTCAAACAGCTGGCAAGTGCCGTAGGAGCTCCATGGTGGTGTTAGCGGAACTGGGCTGCAGAAAGCTCAGCAGATATTTCTGTCTTTCCTGGCACCGCTGTCTGAGCATGGAGCATCAGTGATGGGTGTCTGCACCTCGGAGGAAGACTTTAGCTGTAGCTGACAGCTACAGCTAAAGCCTTCCTTAGCTTGAGATACCACATCGAGGAAAATCTCTTTGTTCCAGGACAATTCTTCCTGCTTTTGTCATTAGGATGCTTTCGGTACTAACGTAATCTCCAGATTAGTTGTCGATCCACAGCAAGCAGTTCGTGGACCTGAGAGATTGCCTGGTATTAGCTTTATATATGAGTATGCTTTCCTGCTGCTACTGCATGCACCCAGCCAGCTTCAGAAGTCATTATCCAGGATTTCTAGGCTGGAGCAAAGGGCAAAGAAAGAGTTTTCTGCTTGTAACCAGGTCCCTGCAGCAAATGTTTATGTGTTTCATAACATGGCATTATTGTCTTGTATCCACCACAGACCTCTAGGTGCTGCAGCGTAAAGAAAATCACTGACACCATTGAAATGTGGGATTATCTGGACCTAGGAATTCTGTACACCAGAAATCATTTGGGTATGAAGGGCCTTGCATAGCAGATGAGTTTCAGATTGGAGGCTATTCCACCATTAGCCATGACAACACCGGGGAGGCTGTTACTACTCCCTGATAATGATCGTGTGTGACCTGTGAGGTCTGTCTGAAAGCATCTAGGAAATATGAGTCACAGGTCCCCGTTGCCATCAGCAAGGACCTTGGAGAAATATACATCCAGGTGAAAACTTGCAGAAAGCCCCACTGGGTCTATTTAGGCAATTTCTAAATAACTGGCTTGATTCAGCCCTCCCCTTCCGTGTCGACACGGCTAGTGTCATTTTTGCAGGTACAGGATGGTAGTGTTGCCTGCATCCTCGATAGTACAAACTTTTTCATTTCCCCTTGATGGAGAGCTGCAGACTGAAACTAAACTGCATAGATGGCTGAGCATCACCCCTTGGGCTGCTGAAAGGGTTTTCTCTGGCCAAAGGTGCGAGGGGTGGTGGCAACGGGACAGCCTGCCTCCCTTGGTCTGCTGTGGAAAGGCTCGTCTGGCTTTAGAAAAAAGGACATGTGGCAATTCCATGCCTCAGTGAGAGAGTAGGTCTTGGGTTAGTGAGTGTGACTCCTAGATATGGAGGTCTCTCAGCCCTGGGAGGATAGCTGCCATCCCACTGATGAGACCAAGCTTGCCTTGATCTCACCAGGAAGGTGGTGATGTGACCACAGCTCCCAGGTGTGCTGCAGAGATAAGAGGTGAGGGGCTGGATGGTTTCATTTCCTTTAGGTTCCAGCCAGGTGCTTGGGGATCCTGGACCCAAGCACCAAACCATCTCTGGCCACTCAATGCTGACTGGCCACCTCTGACCACCCATAGTTGATAAACTGTGACACTTGTGTCACCTTCAGTGACACAGAGGATCAGTATTGCCAGAGCGTGTCAGTGCGGCTTTTTCTTGGTTAGTGTGTTGTTCTCCTTTACAAAGGGTCAAGCAGTCCCTCTGGAAAGAAGTGGAGAAAGGCTCATTTTATTTGTCTGTCCTGCTATTTAAGAGTTAAGAGTTTGAATTCATAGTTGTATAAGCCCTACTTCTTTGAGGTAAAGATTAAAACACACCTCCCACAGAGCAGTGACCTCCTCCGGGTGTCATCACACGTACTTTCCTAGCAAAAAAAAAACAGCCCCCTGCTTCTGTCTCCCTGACAGGAAAACCTGGATCATACTGTTTTTCCACCCTTTCATGACTACAGAGACCACCAGTGAGTAGCTGTGGGCCAGCAGGACAGTGTGGAGAGCCCTCGCGCCCATCACTTGTCCTGCTGGACTTGCACAGGGGCCTCTCGAGGCTGTCAGTCTCTTCACATTGATTTTGTGTGAGTGGATAGTCAGTAGGTATCTAAAGTGCTTCTCGCCACCTTCGCTGCTGAGCCCTGCCAAGCTCAGGCTGTGAGGTGAGCTGAAGCAGAGTGATAACACAGACCTAGGTCTTTCAGGATGCGGGAAGGTGAACTCATATCCAAAAGACCAAGCCAAGCATCAGGACTGCTGCACTGTTACACTGTATGTATTGTGTGGCCCCATCTGGAGCGCTTTAATACCGCTGAAAAAATAGAGGTGACTTCAATATTACCAGCTGGAGGTCCCAGGTGGGTTCCTGCATGCTAGGCATTGCCTAAGAGCACACAGTGAAGCATTTGTGGGCTTGGGGGGACTGTCAGGTAAATAAAGGAGCAAGAGGGAAGTGGACCAGAGCATCAGTGACATGCCCCAAATCATGCAGATAAGTAGAAACAGGAACCTCAGCCACGTGCCCTGATTTCTCAGCCAGGTCTGTGTCTGCGGGACCTGCTGCATTTCTAGCAAAGGAGAGGAACGGATTTGGAAGAACCGATGATTTCATAATTTAGAGATTGTAGAGATCGATATTGTTTCCTTATTAAAGTAAAACACAATTGTTCTTTCTGTGGTGAATTTTTGGTTTGTTCTTTGGTGGAGGGTTTTTAAACTAAAATGAGTAGAGAACTAGGTAAAAGTGGAAAATTGCATTTTAGGGTTTTTTTTTAAGATTTTCACCTTTTCAGGCACTATTTCCTATAAAAAATCATCCAAGTGTCTTAAGTGGGTAAAAAATAAAAGAGAGTCAGGAGTCTGAGATGAAATGTTTTATTTTAAATTGACTGAAATACATTGTTGCATCTGAGATAAAATTCCCCCTTTCCGTTTTGACATAAAAATTGAAAGGTTAAAAAGCTTCTTTTCAGTTTTCCCCTCAAAGGCCCCTGTTCATCTTCACTTCCCCCCAAAACCATCACAGTTTAACCAGAGCAAAAACACAGTTCCTGACACGGTTTTGCTTTGTAGAGATCAAAGCTATGAGAAGAGCTAATCAGTATGTTAAAATAAATACATTCTTTTTTTTTTATCTGGATCTAGCATCCTACCTGCTAAGAAATGCCATGATAAAGCACATTAAGGCAGAATGGTTTCAGATCTCTGAGTGCATTATCAGAGCATTAGAGAAACATGCAAGGTGTATGATGGCTCTTTACCAACAAATTGATTCAGAGCCTTTACAGTATAGGACTGACAGGGAAAAAAAAAAAAATGCATTCAACAAACAAACGCAATGCTGGCTTTAGGGTACGCTCAGGTAATATGGAAGAATTATGTCAGAAAAAAAAAAATGTAGGCTTTTCTTCATGGTTTTATTTTTGCTAATATGAAAACCCTCATTATTACCATGGTCTGCAGAATAGGATGGCTATTCTGTGGAAACAACTCTTTGGTAATCATTTGCCAAGAGTGAACACACTGCTTTGCCTCTCTATTTTCCTGCAGGGTGAATGTGAGGGATGTTTCGTGTCAGAAGAGTTTATCAGGGCCTTCCTGATTGTTGCTGGAGCAGCATCAGGTTGCTAGCATTTGCTCAAAAAATCACAAACCAGAAGCATTATGGTAAAAATGTCAAAAGCCAGCTGCTGTATTTACATGAGCATTCAATGACGTATATGAAAGGTGTAGAGGAGATGGTGCCCAACTGTTAACAGTCATCTGCCCCTTCATACCAAAATGCCTTGGACTCAGACCTCCCGAAGTTGTCACATTGGGAGGAAGGCATGTGAAATTTTGGAGGGAGATACAAACAGAAAAACATGTCTCTTACGCCCTGAAAATGGGGCCTTTCATGTCCTCTGTGCTCTAAATCACTGGTGACTTTTACAATTACGTCCCTGGACATCTTAAGCCAAGCAATAGGTTGCAACAGGTGGTGCTTAGTGTTTTCTCGTGATCAGGGGTAGGTTTTCCCACGCGCTGGAAATGTGATTTGGACATAGCTCCCATCCAGTGGAAGAGAAATTGTTGTTGCTGTGATTTTAATGACACTGATTTTTAATCTATTTTGTTATTTTCATGCAAGAGCAGTCTACCAGTGTGTGAGAAACTAGAAGAAAGAGAAACAGAAGGCCCTACACAGCAATGAATTAACACCAAAAGAGGCTGGATGCTGGACATGCAGCGAGAAAGTGGTCTGTGACAATAACTAAAGTCCTAAGTGCCATGCTTTTCCTTGCAGTACTGAGAATTTAACAGCCGGTACCCAGCAGTCAGGTCATCAGGTTTTGCAATATGCTGGCTTTAAATATCTTTCTTTTGGGTACCGCTTAATCCCACTTTATCCAAGACAGGCGGGCTGTCAGATCTGCACAGAACAGAAGGGGAAAAGGAAAACAAAGTACAGACATACCACATGAATTTAAAAACATTTAAATTAGCATTTAACAAGTCAACTATTCAACCCCTCTAAAAAAGCATCCTCATTCATTTAGGTCTTTCCAAGTGGAGCTCTTCAGAAATATTAGTTAACTAGAAGCCTGACAAAAAATGTGATCCCTATGAGAGACATTTGTGCTGTTTTAAAACTTGTTTATTTATTAAAGGTGGGGGAAGCTGGAAAATAAAATATAAATGTTCTCTGTAGTCAAGAGAGATTTGATCAGTGATGTATCAGAAGTAATTTTCCCAGTCATGTGACTAATGGAAATTAATAGGAAAGCAGAAAAGAGTTTAATAACTTTTCCTTTAAAGTAAACTGATTGCTTTTTCCCCTGCGGGTTCTGTCCGTTTGGCACTTCCCTGTGAAATGAAAGGGGAATATTCTTTTGCAGTGACTTTTCTCTATTTATGCTGCACTTCTGGAAGGCTGATATGCTTCAAGACCCATTTCCAAAAAGTAACAAAATACGAAGGAACTTATATTGCAGAGGGACAGAGATAGAAAGGGGGTGTTGTGGATTAATTATTATGTAATGCAAAATGCCAAGAACTACAGATAATCCCCCTCTGCTCCTCCCCACACTGGTAAGTAACACAAAACCTGGTTTGCCCAGTCAGGTAGAAGCTAAAGAAAACTTGTAAAGAAAATAAAAAAAATCTCTACAGGTTCCACCATCTTGCATTAAAAAAGAACAACTCTGCACGGAATAATAGTTAAAACAAAAACAAAAACAAAAATCTAAAATATATTTTAAGAATAAACAAAAGCTTTAATCTTATTTGGAAAAACAGCCCTTCCCGTGAGCTTAGTAAATTGTTCTCTCTCTTTTTTTTCTTTTTTTTTTTTTTTTTTTTTTAAGGAAAAGATCCACCTTAAAAAGGAAGTTAGAAGCAAAGGTTCATTTTTTTTTTTCTGTTGTGACATTACTTGTCTACTCTTTTTCATACATAAGTTGCATTTTGTCAGAGCCATGTGAATGTGACAAGTAGGTGTTCAAAAGCAATTGGACTGATTCAGTCCTACCGGCAACCCAAAGCATCTCTGCGATCCCCCCAAAATACACCCCCTGTTGTACTATGCTCACCGCTCGTATTCCAAGTGGCCTGCTCTCGGCTTGGCAAACCGCCCTTCAGGCACCGCTCCACGTAGGATCTGGGGTCGCACCCGGAGAGGAGGATCTCGCCAAGCAGGGCGATGTAGGCGATGGCCAGCCGGAGCGTGTCGATTTTCGACAGGCGCTTCTCGTAAGGGAAGGTGGGTACGTGGCACCGGAGCTGGTCGAAGGCCGAGTTGATGTTGACCATCCTCTTCCTCTCGCGGACGTTGGCGGCGAGGCGCTGGCGGAGGCGGCCGGAGCTGTCCGCTTCAGCACCCCCCTCCCACCCGGGCCGCGGCCACGCCGGCTGGCCCACCGGCGAGCAGGCCGGCGGGAAGGTGTCCAGCCCAGCGCTGGGGTCCTCCTCAGCCCAGGAGAGAAGTTCAGAAGCCAGGTCTTCCTGCTCGAAGCCGTAACAAAGCTCCTCCATCCCCCCGCCGCCCCCAATGCACCAGTCTGAAGAAAAGCGAATGGAAATATTTGCAACTTTGGACTAAGCTGATAAGCGGGGAAATGAGGTTCTAATGTCATTAATAGCCCCTACCTCCAAAAGATATTGGGGCAGGGTGTCCTGGTTGTGTCCTCGAGGGAGGCTATCGCAAAGCTTTCCCCAGTTGCAAAGCCAAGTGGGACTCATGATTTAAATACTTCATGGCTCCTCAGCAGGGGAATGATCCTATTCTTCTCCACTCAAAACTAATTAGCACATGTGCTTCTCCTTATTAGCTGTTGACTACAAAACAATATGAATAGATGTAACAAGAGAGAATGAATTTTCTATTTATTTGCTCCTGGAAAATCCATTGAAGCACTTATCGAGTTCTTCCACAAGTTCAGTCTCTCCACTTGCTATTTAGAGTAGGGACGATACAGGGATTTTGTTGTTATTGTTGTTGGGTTTGGTTGGGAGTGGTAGGAGGAAGAAACAAAATACAGTCCTTTATCTTTCTGGTAAAGTGTTAATAGCCCCACATTCTCTTATGGCTGGACAAACAAAACGCTATTCTAATGCTGTCAGAAACACATGACTGTGCCCTCTTTGACAGCAGAAGCTAGTGGCATCTTCTGCACTTCTAGCAAGAGAATGGCTGGGATAAAATGTGGGGTACACTGCTGTGTTAAATTGGAACACAGCAGTGCCTCCTATTAAGAAAGCCAACAGCACCTCATTTGCTTGCTGCATTTTCTGATTCACACTTAAATTACACATTTTGTGGGCAATTCAGACATTTGGTGCTCTGTCTCAGACCTTACTAAGCACTGGAAAAAAACAGCAATTGTAATAACCACCATGGGCGCAGTCCTAGAATGGTGGACCAGGTGAGCCACATGTTGAGAAAAGCTGGAAACTGGGGTGGTAGCAAGTGTCCATCACCCCCATGATGCTGCACAAATGGGGTGGAAGGTGTTAAACACCACCAGAACTTTAAAGCAAGTGTGTAATACAAGTGAGTGCTCCTGTCTCTTTGATTTCCGCAGTATTTAAACTAATGTTTAAATTCATTCAGGATTAGTCTAAGTGATATTTTAAGGACTTAAAAGAATGGAATGGAACCATGTTTTAAGATAGAGAAAGCCTCAATGCTTTTCCTGAATCATGTCATAACAAACTTTTATCAAGACACTCAATCAAATGTTTGACTTCATGCATAAACTCATGTCTTACTGCTGTGTGAAGTTTCAAGAGATGTCTACTGTGAAGTTTATGGGCCACAGACAGTTTCCTGATAGGAAAGCTGAAAGCACAAATCTCAAGAGCTTCAAATAAAGAGCCAGAGAGCAGAAAATGACCTGCATTTTTAACGGATCTAAAAGGATGATCAGGTCCTCCATCTGACAATGACTTAGGATGTAGTCTTGGTAGCTTTTCCCTGTGAAAAGAGAGAATTATTTTAAGATAAGGCATAGGCTACTAATGACTCTTCTTAGTAACCTGGTATTTTGCCTTGTGACCTGCTCCAGGAAATTTAAGGCAACAGAAAATAGGCTGCAGAAAGGACTTTTGCCAAGAGTAGGTGTGAGAAGGTTGCAGTGTCTGAAACACTAGGACAATCTTTTTAATTCTTGTTGTGCAAATTGAGCAAGAAGCCTGTTATCTGCAAATATGCTTGACAAATTAAAATACAATACCAAGCATGACAATACAAGGAAAATAGTGGTTAAATAGTGAGAAGGTGTCTTGTTTTCTCCAGTCAGCTCAGGGCACAAATTTTGTACTAGTTTAGTACTAAGTAAATCATATGTCATGATACCAACATGCCCAACAACAAAGTACTAGTATTGTGAAAGTCTGTAGTGACGAACAGCTTCTGCCTCAGATGAATCCCATCGAGGGACAAGGCAGCTGGCTACAGGGCAGGAGGAGATGCAGGAGGGGTGAAAGGAATGGCCACAGTCACAGTTGACTTGAATGTGGGCCAATCAATGTAGAGTTCATTCTGCAGTGGTTTCTTTTAAATCATATCATTATATTTCCCAGTGTCACGTACACACAATGCTCCAAAAAGAAACAACTTGCTACAGTCCCCACGCTTGGCAGTGGGGCTGCATGTCTGATCCCAGCTGTCCCTTCTACACCCTTGTAAGCAGATTTAGGCCCAGCTGTGCAGAAAACAGGCAGCAGAAAAGCCTTCCTGCCTCAGCTCTCTACCTCTGCATGCTGCACCACCTCCACCCGAAGCACTTCTGCAGCACTGCCACTGCGTTGTGGGCCTCCCATGGATGCTTTGCAGTTCCCAGATTTCAGACTCTCTTTTAGATGCTTCTACGGCTCCCCAGCCACTGTTTAACTGAGCACTTGCTAGCGATCACTTGGCCACATTAAGCACAATCATAAGACACTTGAAAATACCAAAATCAGCAAGAGAACAGCAGGTCTTGTCCCGAAAAAGGCTCTGGAGGAGACAATTGTTGTCCACCGGGAGTAATGGGCAGAGACAAGGAGGTTCAGCACATAACATGGTTAGTTTTATGTGCCGGGTTCCTCTTTCTCAGCAGATGCTTCTTCAGTGCTTAATGTTCCCTTCCAGATCCATCACTGCTAATAGTGTTGCCTGGGGATATGTCTGGCTCCACAGATGGAGAGCAGATGTTCCAGCAAGCCTACTTTTAGCGTGTTCAAGGGGAATTTGGCTCTCTTAGAGAGACTCTGGACAAAGCAGAGGGGGGGAGGGGAGGGAAGAAAGAGAGAAAAGTAAGAAAATATTTCCCCTTAGAAAGACAGCTATGAAAGAGGTCAGGTCTCAGAAGAGAAGCTGAGGTTCCCATCCCTCATATGAATAGCTCTTACCACAACTTCAGACCTGTTTCACTCCCAGTGCTTCTGCAACTGTCAGAGAGGGAGAGAACGTACAACTAATGGGTTAATTTTGCACTTGTCCGGAAGACGTGGGTGAAGGCATCTCCAACAGGGAATGGGTACCACACTGAGTGGGTGTGCCACTGATTATGATATGTTGTATAATTTCAGGATCTGTCTAACCACCATTTCCTTCAAACCCTCTTCAGACTCAGTGTAATCCAGAAATTACATTTGGTTGCTGGTCATTTTTAATCAGTACGGTCTAATGAAAGAAAATTCTTGAGTCAGAACCTTGGTCCTGGGTTTATGTCAATTGAGAATGGAACCGTGGTCATTTGGGTTTGAATTCTTCCGGGTCTAGATATCCCTATTCATGCTGGAGACTACTTTCTTCAGTACTGTCCCCCTGTCTGTCATCTAAACAAATCCACATATACCAGACTCTGAGATTTTGCCTATTTCATAGAATTTGGGATACAAACCTGCTTCTGGGGAATATTGCCACTGCATTTTTTTTCTTCACAGTGCCTTAGCTGCTGAAAGCTGCTACCCTGTACCTGTGTCTCAAAGATAACAAGGTCTCCTGAGGTTATTTTGGAGGTAGACTTTTCTCTCCCCTTCTTGTCCCATTGGCCTTATTTCAGACTCAGCTTGGGGAACCCAATGACATCTTTAGTGGCGTCAGCAAAGCCTCCCAGTTCTGGCAAAATTGATTTTTCCCCCCCCCCCCCCCCCCGGGAATTTAGTTTGAATATGTTTCCATCATCTTTAGTTGCTTAATAAATGGAGTCAGTCCTTGGCCTGGACAAAGAACAGATGTAGAAAGGACCAGATGCTTTACTTTCAAGTTAGATGACTCCAAAGTACAAGAAGTCCATCATGTCATTGCTGCTAATCCAACGTTATACTGTGCAGCTCATCATCAGAGCTGGGAATTGGGTCCAGGTTAACCGAGAGAGACCAGATGAATGATGCCAAAAATCTTGGGGAATGCTTTATCCAGGTGGGAGAGTGCAGTTCTTGGTGGTGTGGCTCATTCAACATGTGTTGGTAATGGCACTGCCAAACTACAGCTACACAGATGGATCTCCAGGACCTGAGCTGCTCTCATAATTGGAGGCTCCTAACAGCCTCAGATAAATGGTGGACCACCGAGCTCCTATACCTTCTTTGGAGCCACATACCGTGCCTGGGATACCTGAAATACTGGGCACATTGCTTGTGAAGTGCTGGGGGCAAGAAAAGTGCCAGTATTAACATTTATCAATGGAAAGCGCTGCTTCTTAAACTAAAACAATAGCAAATATCACAATGTAATGAAAAGCAGAACAAGGATTTTGAGGGCAAGAGAATTTCAAAGGGATAATGGCTATTTCTGAGATGCCCAAATAATTGTGAAAGAAAACCTCCATAGTGTATGCAGGATGTTGATTTTAAGTGAAAAAGGTAACAGGACCTTTATTATTCACAGGGCAGAAACATCAGACGTCAAAATTTGTGAAGGAAGGCACTGGTGAATGATTGTTAATATAACTTTGATTTATTTCATTATTAATATAAACTAGTCAAGACAGCCTTTGCTTTAAAAGTCTTTGGTGTTTAAAAGTGAACACTTTAACCTTTCTGCAGAGCATTTGCAAAATTACAGAAAATTAATCCCAGTCTCTAGGAGAAGGAAAGTATTTTCTCTAATAAAAACACTCCCTCGTGGTTTCCCCTTTTTCACAGAGTTTTTATGAGTCTGGGGGATGACCTCTGGACTGTTGCTGCCAAATGGTTCCTCATCCAAGTCACTTCACTAGGGTCTGTGACCGCTTATTTGAGTGAATGGTCAGCTTCGCTGCACTGTTTAGATCTCAAGGGGATGGAAGTGCTGATGAGATCTCCTGAAGGACAGTGGTGTCCCTTGTGCAATGGCCTTAGGGAGGCTGCTTGCCCTGCATTTCACTGTGTCTTCCCCAGCCATCTGAAACAGAACCCTAGCAAGGTTAACATAATGCTGCACCCAGGGATTGCAGAGGGTGCCCATGTATAACCCTGTCTCCGTAACCGATGAGAAATATCTCTGGGGAGAGCAAAAATTGCCATTCATGTGACATCCAGTGCTGTTATTTGTGGGTTTATTTGGG